TCTAAACTTTCAGGTTTTAGAGTTAAGCAATTTATAGACAATTGGTTCATATGTAACAGGGAAAATCTCTCCTTTTCAATGAGAACTAATTAATAATAGTTCTCAAAGATTATTGACAGGTGACATTGAAGTTTTATGTATTCTTGAAGCAAAATATTCTCATCCCAACAATTATTCAGGTCATGAATTAAAATGTTTCTATTCCATTGGAAAAATTCCTGATGCTTAAAAGGACAGTGGCTCAAGCTTCAAGACTAATTCTTACAGGTGAAATTGCTCTCCTTTGTATGCATAATACAAGTATCTGACTTGGTTGCACTTTGATTCATTTACCTTTGTCAAATTAAATAAGTCATTTAGCTAAGTCATTCTCCCCAGGGATCTTTCCAAAACTAAATCTGTGAACCTATGATTGCATTAACCCCCCTGAGAGTGAAGGAATACAGACACTGCCATGAAAAAAAAACATGCTTGTTTCTAATTAGTCAAATGACGAAGCTAAAAAGAATCCAAATCCCAGCCCAATGAGAGCAACAGAATAATCATTAATTAGGTTAATAATGGGACAAAGAAATATTGCAGCATCTAATTCATACAATATAATGAAATCATAAAAGGAAGATGTAGTGTAGGATCAAAGATCTCCTACACCAGGCATCCTTCATTTGGTGGTCTTTATTTCATTTCTAACATGAAGATTGTTACTAGTAGGAGTGGTAATACATTCCTGTATTAATATAGGTCCATTTTACACTCCAAGAAAAAAGAGATATTCCAGACCTGTCTGTTTCATTATGCTTGAATGAGCAAAGAGACCTTCTGCAGAGTTGAACAGAAGGCAGAGAATGGTAATAATGAAGAGGGATAAAGCATCAACCATGTTCAAACTTTGCAACTTTTGAAATACTTTACAAAAAGTAAAGAGCCAAGCTGTTGTTTTCTAAACTTTTGATGATAAGAAACATTTATGGGAAATAAGCTTATTTAAATAACTTCATAGCCCAGTTTTTGGTGACTGCAATGTGATTGCATGATTTATTTCAATTTCTTATATAGGTATGTGTATAATAAGCAGCAATTCGCAGCTAGCAGGATAGTGTAAATATCCTTATTCTTTTCTATGTGCTTTGGATAAGATAGGTCATGTGCCAGGTTTGTCAGTGCCTTACTAGTTCAGAAATAATTCATTTTTATATAATTGAACTGGATATCACAGAGGACCTTCTCCTAGGCACATAGTTTGTAGTATTCAGCATCCTAATTCAATTACATTTAGAATGCATTACTCTTTTCTAGAAAGATTATAATTTTTGTTAGAATGAATTAGATTTTGACTTATTTGAGAACATTTCTGTTAACATATTATCCTGTGAGCAGGAGAAGAGCATTCTACACATAGTTTAAGATTCAGCATGCTAACAGCTTTTGAGCAACTCATTTTCTTGATTGAACTTATGTTACAAATTTCATATGAGTAAGGAACACCTGGAAACAACTACTAACCAAGACTATTTAAGTAAGAGCCAATATCACATGACTCTTCATAGAACTCATGCAAATTCATGAAGATCTGTGCTTTAGATCTATGCCTTTGTCTTAGAGTGCACTCGACTTGACTTTTTGACTATCGCTACTTGTATGTTGTGAGAGATGCTTTTTAATTTGAAGATGCTTCCATGAAGATGCCACATAAAAATAATATGAAACAAAAAGATGCATGGTGGTGTCCAAAATGATCAGATATATGGTTATTAGGGTTCAATATGACACAATCTGTCATAACAGTTTTGTCCAGTCACTGATTGGACTGGGCTATATTAACAAATAACAAGAGTAACAACAATTTTCTTTTTGTATTGATACTAGACAACTTGTTTAATGGAATGCATAGATAACCTTGCATAAAAAGAAATACTGCTTAGGAAAACATACAATCAAGAGAGGGAGAAGCCTCCAAGGGCTTAATAATCAGAGAAAGAAACTTAGGAAGGACCTACTCTAATTGATCAGACAATTAAAAGTGGTGGTGGAACTTCAGAATGGCAAAGATTCTGGTTACATAGACTTATAATAAAGTAGAATTAGCTCATCTAGTCTTCTTTCCTGTCTGGTTTACCCGAGATAGGTGACAATCCAGGGGTGAAATCCAGCAGGTCCTGACAGGTTCTGGAGAACTGGTAGCAGAAATTTTGAGCAGTTCGGAGAACCGGTAGAGGAAATTTTGAGTAGTTTGGAGAACCAGCAAATACCACCTCTGGCTGGCCCCAGAGTGGGGTGGGAATGGAGATTTTGCAGTATCCTTCCCCTGCCATGCCCACCAAGCCATGCCCACCAAGCCACACCATGCCCACCAAGCCATGCCCACAGAACCGGTAGTAAAAAAATTTGGATTTCACCACTGTGATAATCTCATTTTTACCTAGGCAACATCTCTTCCCCTCATTCCCCCAAGATCATCCACACATTCTATTACCCAACCTGTGACCTGTTGGATCATTGTTTCAGAGATATTTCTTTAGCTAAATAGAGAAATAGAATGAGCACAGGCAGGTATAGAAGCAGTGGGAGAGGAAGCAACTTCCAATATCCTATCAGCTAACCCATTGACTTTCCCTATAGGAAGCTGGGAGGGAGCATTGGAAATGGCTATCCCATGACTGTGCCATACAATGATGAAGCAACCAGAACTTTGCCCAATATCAAAATTCCATGGGAATCATGGGTCCTGGGTACATTCTGTATAGCAGCTCATTTGAGATATGTTAATTCAAAAATTGTTGCCCTATAATTGCCTATTTTGCCCAATAGAAGATTACAAACAATGAAACACTCAAGAGATTTAATAGTGCAGAGACATTTCATTGAGTTTACATGAAATCAGAGAAGCAGTTACTACCTGATATGATGGTCATGAGGAGCCAGAAACACTAATAAACAATGCATATATATAATAAATAAGAAAACTGACTATTGATACCAGAAGCCTCACCAACTGTAGAGGCACAGGTTGGAAAAACTGTGACGGTGACCACTACTACTTCTTATTGGCATTACATCTTTTCTGAAGCAAAGATGAGATTTGAGTCCCATTTGTTTTCCTTTTCTATCCAATGGTATCATCTTTACTTGGATATTGTACAATATTATATTTTATCATTAAACAGTGTGGGTTCTTTCCTTACCAGTTTGGTACAGTAGTTAAGGTGCTGGCTTACTAGGATATGTGAGTTCTAGTTCTGCCTTAGGCATGAAAGTTGGCTGGTTATATGGACCAGTCAACCAGTCTCTCAGCCAATTCCCTACAGGGCTGTTATGGGGAAAATAGGAGGGGGAAAGAGTATTAGACATGTTTGCTGCCTTGAATTTCTTTTAAGTAATAAAGGCAGAATAAAAATGTAATAAAAATAATTTTAGCAAGTTAATTGCTAAAGAGATGTCCCAAAAGGAGCAACAAAGTCCCAAGTATTCCATTGGCAGTAAGATCATTTTTTGAGAGAGATAAAGAGGTCTATTGTCTTCTTAGTTTGGAAGTATGAACACTGTGTATACTACACATTTTGAAAGAAACATTTACTTGTTGAGAAAGAAAAGCCACTGCATATTGCTGATGAAAAGAAGTTGGTCCTGTTCACACACAACACCCCCAAAATGTTGTGATTTATTAAAAAAGAGCCCTGGTGGCGCAGCAGACTAAAGCACTGTTATTAACATCAGCTGCCTGCAATTACTGCAAGTTCAAATCTCACCAGACTCAAGGTTGACTCAGCCTTCCATCCTTTCTAAGGTAGGTAAAATGAGGACCCGGATTGTGGGGGCAATAAGCTGACTTTGTATAAATATACAAAAGTATGAAGGCTATTGCTTAACGCATTGTGTCTCCAGAGAAGGGCGGCATATAAATCAAATTAAAAAAAAACATGGATTGTTAACATACAAAGTCAGTCTGAAGTATCCATGTGATATGACGAAAATATTTCCTTCCGTCCTACAATGTGCTTGAATTGGTTATTTAAATAGAGTAGTACACATTTTTGTAGAAATCACACTCGTTTTGGCTTGACAGCTGGATTTTAGATCAATAGAGGTCAAAAATGTTCAAGAAACATTCAAAATTGAACGTTTGTTTCGTTTTCCTTTCTTTGCAGCTTTGAGACTGGAAGATGAAATCTCCCCTCTGCTCATTGCCTCGATATTTCTTTCCAAAGTTATGCTAAGGAACACACCAGTGATTTCCCATTTAATGCAGTTGTGACTTTCAAGTTCATTGTGGAAATTTCGTTGTTTTCCTAAAACGAGACAAATAGTAGGACTGTAAGAAAATAAGGACACCTTTCTTGTCATTCTCTTACCAGGTGGGGTATATTTTGTTCTAATAAAGCTGCAAAGCAAAGGTTTGTGCACCACCCGAGCCCTGCATAGGGGGCTCTTTGGTTTGCGGTAAGCAAATACGGTAGGTAGGAAATAAATGGCTCCCGCGCTAATTTCGTTAAATCTTTTCCTATACGTTTTCCCGGTAGTCCAAGCGGATGGAGAATAACTCTTCGAAAGCTTGTCTCCTTGAAAGCCCCGCTCCTTTAGTGGGTCGCGTCAGTTTAGTTCCCGGTAGAACAATGCGATCGCTTGCTTCCACTGACTCGAAGCTGCGGCTGGCTTAGTAGTTACACGCGAGTTCAATATATCAGTTTGGGGTTCAGCTTTTTCCGACGGAAACTCGCACGGTCTTTCGGGGTAGACCCTTTGCCTTCTTCGGCTCCCTCGTCCTTTTAACTCCCAGCCTCCCACCTCGCAATTGGGCGCGCGCGCTGCTTCTGAGGCGGCTTCCCCTCCCCGTTCACTTTCCTCCAGTGCTGGGCTAGCCGTCGGAAGAAGCCCCTCCCTCTGGCCACGCCTCGGGTGGACTGTCTCGTCGCTCCCCCCGCGCCTCCTCTCAACAATAGCCCCCTTTTCGGGCCGCCTCCCCCTCCCCTCCCCGCCCGAGCACCGAGACGCGTCTCTCCTTTGCCGCTGAACGCGAGGGCGCCCTTAAACCCGCCGCCCCTTGACTTTTCGCTCTTCCCACGGGAACACCTGCCGGCTCTTTCGCAGTCGGGTTCCCGGCCAAAGGTCCCTGCAGAGCCATTCACGTTTCCTTTCTTCGGCCATTGACAATTCCGAAACCCCGCCCTCCCGCTCGCCGGTTTCACCATTCACAAGTCTCATTCATAGACACCACACGCCGAGACACACGCGCACCCCCCCCCCACACCCGCTCCTCTCCCTCCCTCCTCCCCTCCCTTCAGCCACACGCCCACCCTCAGCCTCCCCCTCCAGCTGAGGGACACTAGCAAGCGCTGGATGCCTCGCTCCGCTGCCGAGCTGTTCTCCTGAGCTCCTTCCCCGGGGCCGAGGCGAAGGAAATTCCCCCTCCCTGCTTCTAAACAAAGGGATTTAACCGGCGCACGAGGCGAGAGCAGCGGGGAGGGGGGGCGCGTCTGTCCGGATGTGGTGAGGGCTGTGCTGTGCCTGGCTTGGGCTCGGAGGGAACTGCAGAAACGGGAAAACGGCGCCCCCGGCTCCGGCGAGCTTCTACCATGGGATGCTGCACTGGGCGCTGTACGCTGATCTTCCTTTGCACGCTGCAGCTGGTGAGTAGCAAGATTGCCCTTCGCCGAGGCGTCGCTGACTTGGGATCTTTCTTTTTTCCCCCTTCCCGTCAGCTGGGAGCGTTGCGGAAAGAACCCTCTCGATTCTGTCCCCCACTTCCCCACCCCCACAATCCCGGTTGTGAAGCGATTTCTAGCCGGTCGCTCTTTGGGGATTGACTTGCCCAGGAGTAATGCAGCTGAAGGGCTAGTCCACCTGGCGCTCCCTGGGCGTTGGAAACTCTTCACCGGGGTCTCCTCTGCCACTGGCTGACAATAATGGGAACCGGTCCCGGTTGCATGCAAAGGCGGTGTGTGTGTGTGCGTGTGTGTGTGTGTTGGGGCGGGTGTGTAGGTGCGCGCCCGATTGCAGGCATGACCTTCCAAGTATGATCAACTTCTCGTAGGCAAAAGGATGTCCCGAAAACGAGGCAGCCGGCAAGTCCGGTCTGCTCGCCCCCCCTCTTCCCCCCCCCACTTCTACCTTTTTGATAGCATCTTCTTTTGGCAACCGATCTACCGGCAACAACCTGAACCGGTTCCAAGCTTCAGCTAACTGCTGCTCAGCTGCAGAGATACTCCAGCCAGCTCAAGAGCAGCAAAGACTCAAGTGTTCTGCTGGTCTCGGGGTTGCTTTCCTGGAAGGGAGGGAGATGTTTGTTGAGCGGCTGCCATTGTCAAATAGATATGCCCAATTGCTTCCCTCCTCCAGCCCCCTTGGGTTGAATGTGTCAACCTTCTGTGTGTGCTACTATGTGGAGGAAAAGCTTATTTATGGGAAATGGGGCTCCCGCAAAAAGCACTGCACATTGCCTAGGAAAGCAAGTTGATCCTTTTCAGATTGAACACATGTTCAAGTGCTCACGGGACTCATTGTAAAATATGTATTCATAGGATACAAGGTATATTTTTGTTCTTTTTCTTTGGATGATGATGATGCTGACCTCCAGTTGGAAGACAGAGTCCTGGATAATTTTCTCCTCCCCCCCATCCCTTGAGAATCACTGAATGTGTCCTATAGATGCCAGTTCTCTGGATTTTGATTTTCATCCTAATTTAATTTGAAGGCTGCTAAAGTATTGATGCGAAGAAGATGTTTCTTTCCTCTTCAGAATTGGTTATTTAAATATTGCACATTTCTGTGCGAATTTCATTCGTTTTATATTGTCTCAATTTAACAGCGTTTTAGAAGCATTTTTGTGATCAATATGAGGTCAAGATGTTCAAACAGTACTCCAGGATCTGATAATGAGTGAAATTACTCTTTCTTTTCTCCTTTTTAAAAGTCCCTTTGAGACTGCAAAGTGATATCTCAACTCTGCTGGTGCTTGAGATATTGAGTTGTGTATTGTACTGTCAAGAACAGAAGTGTGATTACAACATATCTGTTGGAGTGTTAATTTATTTTCCAATTATTTAAGTGTTTTGAGGAGTCTCTTTGTTTTGTTCACATTTAGAAAAGCAATAAAACCAAAGAAAATGAATGACATAATCCCCGTTACTTCATTAATAATAGTGGAGGAATAGGGATGTTTTGTTTATTTGTTTATTTATTTATTTCAATTTGTATACTGTTCTTCTCCTAGTGGACTCAGGGCGGTGAACAGCCAGAGCTAAAACACACGCAGATACAAAATTTAAAATTGTTAAAAGAATTATATAACTGGCCCAATTTAAAACAATTCAATTTAAAACCCCATGACAATTTAAAACTAAAAAACTAAAAAGATTAAAAAAGGGGGAGGGGGTTCACGCCAGCCTTTCTTGATGGAAAAGAAAAGTTTTCAGGGCACGGCGAAAGACCCGGAGATCCGATATCCTTCGTATCTCCGGGGACAAATCGTTCCAGAGGGCAGGAGCTGCCACAGAGAAGGCCCTCCCCCTGGGGGTCGCCAGCCGACATTGCCTGGCTGATGGCACCCTGAGGAGTCCCTCTCTGTGGGCGCGTACTGGTCGGTGGGAGGCTATCGGCGGCAGAAGGCGGTCCTGCAAATACCTAGGTCCTATGCCATGGAGCGCTTTAAAGGTGGTAACCAACACCTTGAAGCGCACCTGGAAGACAACTGGAAGCCAATGCAGCTCACACAGGAGAGGTGTCACATGGGAGCGCCCCCTCGCTCCCATAATCCCCCGCACGGCCGCATTCTGCACCAGTTGGAGCCTCCGGGTGCTGCTCAAGGGGAGCCCCATGTAGAGAGCATTGCAGTAGTCCAGGCGGGAAGTGACGAGTGCCTGAGTGACTGTGCGTAAAGTCCATTCTAATTACATAGCTTTGCTTATAATGTTGTTTTATTTCCTCTGAATAAATGGGGCAGGGCTTATATAGCAAATATGCTCAGTTTTAAAAATTAGTGGATTTTCATTGCTTATTTCAACTGATATAAAAATTCAGTAAAAAATAATTCTTACAATATAAGTCTCCCTGTCGCATCAAAAAGTTCTATTTTAAGTTGGTTGTTTGCTTTTAGTGCTTTTAGAATACTCCTGACATTTCTACTGATTCATGGTTTATGAGCATTTTATCGTTTGCTTATTAGTTGTACACCAAATAATACAATCTTGAAATATTAGGTTTAGGCTGTATGCATTTGGAATTAATTTGGAAAATAAAGAAGCAGGATATTGCAGAAAGATTTCCTATGAAGATCTTCTGCTAAATTAATATTGTCCCATCTACGTCTCTGGAGATTATCTTGGTTGGAAAAGGCCTTAGGGGAATTTTGGCATCATGCATGGAAATGGAAGTGGACTTTGCGCTGATTGCCCATGTCTTCTCTTGATTGAGCTTTACTCATCAGTATACAATTAAGCAGGTGCTGAAGTTGCTTCAAGAGTAATAAAGGGAGATCATCTCCACAATCACATTAAACAATGAATGGTCTTTAGCCACAGTTTACTGAAGAAGTCAGAAACAATTCCTAATCTTGAAGGAAACCACCATTCCCTTTTTTGTCTCTCCCCCCATAACACTTCTTTCTTTACACACGTGTGGAGAACCAGGCAACCTATAAAATACCATATCTGATCCTCAGGCTAACTTCTTGTAGTCCTCATTTCTAGACTTTATTAAAAGGCATCACATTGCTAATAAGACTTATTTAGCTACTCCCTGTGGCCTGCAACTTGTAAGAGAAAAAAGAGAGTGATGGAGAGAGACCAGGGGGAGACAGCTAATGTAGAGGCTAACTTTATTGTTTCTGTTTCCACACCACTCATCTACCCCAAATTCCCAAGTAATTTACATCTAAGGCACTGTGGTCCTCAGCACTAAAAGGGTGCCTATCTCTGGGTAAAAATAACCAGGAAGAAATCAGGAAACACACATGGCTTACATCACTATTCACAAATCTCACTAAGCCACAACATGTTGTGTTGCATTTAGTAGGCTTACTCAGGCCTGCTATTTTAGCAGAGGAGAGTTTATTCATTAATGTATGAATGGGATTGGTGAATAAACTATAATTTGTTAGAGCAGCAGAAGGCCAGTCAAAAATAAATAAACCACGTTATAGTATTGTGATGTAATATAGGGTTACTGCAAGTGTCAGCTCAGATAAAGGGGAAGTAATAATTATTTCAATCATGGCATAAATACAAAGAGTTTACAAATACTTGCAATATAATCTTATGAATGTTTATTTGTAAATAAATATTTTATTTAGTGCATCCTAGGTTGTAATTCTTTGCATAGTACAATGGCAGGTCAGTGTGCAATAATATGCTATATAAGTTACTGAATACACTGAGCCTTATTTCCAAGAGAAGCTTTCCCAGACGGCTATTAATTTCTATGCAGAAAAAGAGCAATGCAATATACTATTCTAATAACAGTTAAGGATATTTCATGGGAGAGTATCAAAACTCTGAGAATATGACAGGAAAACTGCACACAGAAGCAACTAACTCTTCTTAAGTTTAGTAGCTAACTGAGCAAAAAAAAAAAAGTGGAGAAACTGTGTTCCTTTCCTTTTTGTACTAGTGTCAATGAGAGTAAAAATAACTGCATCAACTCTAGGGCTGATATTGTTTTCCCTTTTCACTGATATTGATTCCCTTTCCCTTTGGAATCATTTTAATTAATTAATTGTTAATTAATTGGATCCCAGTACTTTCAAAATACCACTGACATTAAAAAAATTCTATGAAGCAGATGGAACCTATTAATGTATTTTTATAAGTTCTGTTCCCCCACATGGCAAATATGACCCATCTCAAAGTGGTATATCTTACAGAACAGCCTGTGTGGGACTGCTCCTTATCCAAAGCTTTTTCTTTGTAATCATCTGAGTTACCACTAATGAGCCAATCATCATGAGAACATGAGATGCTGACAAGCAATGTTGGGTAGTATAGATGGCATAATAGTTTGAGATGCTCCATCACTATATTCCCATTAATCACGAGAGGTTATACTCCTATGAGGCGTCAGAAACTGCAGTGAAATGTGTTGTGTTTGGTGTTGCAGAGATGGGTGGCAGAAGTAGTTATTTAGCTACTATTGTAAATGGAAGCTCCAAGTAGAGGTCCCTAAGTATGTTTTCTTTTTCTTTTGTTTTTAAACAGATCATTCTTATAATAAAGCTTATGTTTTGAAAGGAGGCTGGTAGGAATATATGGCTGGTTTGCAAAGGGTCCCTAACCTAAGAAAGAAACGGGGTATCCTCAGAGACCTTTATATGACTCCTGCTAGCTGGTAATGTTGGAAATGACCCAAGGCTGACTTTCCAAAACAGCTATGTGACTTATGCAAACACTCTTTGCCAACTGTATCCTATTTGCATAATTGACTGCTGAATCCTGATAAAATACTGACAGATATAGTAGGAAAACATCTGCATAGGCAATGCTTCCAAACCATTAATTTTTGGGCACTTCCTTCTGTCACTCAAATGAAGAAGTCAGATCTGTCTTGGAGCTATTAACTCCTCTGTTCTCCTTTGTTCAAGCCAAGAGGATAGGTTCTTAGGACCTCTGCCTTTCAAATGTTCATTATTATTCAGGAG